TAATGGAAATCGTTTTTTTTTCTATGTGTATATGTGTGTGTGTTGTGAGTGTGTGAATGGGGTTTAGAGAAGACCTTTTGGGTCCGAAATCATTGATTTTTGTCTTTTTTTTTATTTCTACGTAAATTGATTTTTAAAAGTTCGTTTTTTATCGAATTAGAATAATTAGGGAAGTCGGTTTTTCACCTATTAGCGCATATAACTTCTCGAATTTTCTCTTTGTTTACTCATGAAAATAATTACTTTCTATTTCTTTAGTTATGAGATCTCGAACGCTGCAGTTCAGGTCTTTAAAAATCACATCGACTGAATTAATCGTTCTATTGTTCAGAATAAGGTATTACTGGAGTGTATAACTTTTAAAATACCGGCTCCATCAATTATAAACGAAAATAAGTGTGAATTCAAGAAGGGAACCTATTTTGTACATAATAAGTCAGCATAAAAACAAAAATTTTTCATGTTTTTCATTACTGATACGAAAGGAATCATAATTCTTCAGACAGATGGATCCATCATTTCTTTAGCGCATTAAGGAAAAGGATAAGAATCCGCCGGTTCTGTACGTCTCAAAAAAGGAAAGAGAGAGAGAAGAAGATAATTTTACCACTACTTTCCTTAAAACAGAAAATCGTTTTCTATAGCCCTCAAAGAAAACAATTAAATCTTTTGAATCTCCAACTGATTACACTCCCTTAAAAGTAAACAAAAAACCTACCCGTAGTACCTTACCCCTTCCTTCACAAAAAAGTGAAATCACCATTAAAAAGTTAACGTAAATCACTCACGCAGTCTCAGTATAATAACCCTCGGTCTTCGTGATAGCCAGGGTCGTCGAAACCACCACGGCAGGAAACCCGTAACCAACTCCCACATAGAACTTGAACAACGACCTCTGCGTGCGCCATACCTGTTGAGAGCGAGGTCAAAGGTCAAGCAGAATTCAGGGTTAAAAAATGAATATTATATATGGATGAGAACGTAGAGAGAGAGAAAAAAACAGATGTATAATTACTACGAATGAAAATATATAACCAACGTTTGGTATCATATGTCCATCAGAATTATTAAAGAAAATTTGGCATTCATTATATCAGTATTATAGTAGTTAGTCGTATTTTATAATGTGGAACGTTATACAAAATATATCCACAAACTTTTCCAGAGATCAAAAATATATCCATGACAAGTTGTTAATTTGAGAGTAAATGCGAAGAGAGGCAAATTGAGGAAACAGACTTGATTAGCTTTTACGAGAGTACATGCGAGTGTAACGGAAATGAATCTGACGGGAATGATATCAGCATAACACAAATAACAACAAAGATAAAGATGACAACAAAACAATAACAATTGTAATAATAGTAAGAAGAATGATAATCAGAAAATGATCATATCAATGATGATAAAAATATTTACAATAAAAGTAACAATATTAATGATGATGGTGATGATGATGATGATAATGATAATAATGATAGTAATGACACTGTAATAATGATAATAATATTAACAATGATAAGAAGAATGATACTAAGGATGAAGATAATAATGATGATGATAATGACCATGATAATCATCATCAACATAATAATAATAATAATAATAATAATAATAATAATAATAATAATAATAATAATAATAATAATAATAATAATAATAACAATGATAATAATAATAATAATAATGAAGATAATAACAAGACGAAGAAAATGAAGAAACCCGGAGCCTCACCCTGCCGAACTTCAGGTACATGTTGAAGGACTCGACGGCGCCCCACGTGAACGCCGACAGCAGGGCGAAGTGAAGGGCCGCCGCGACGAGCAGACACAGCCACCGTTGCTCCGTGGCCTCGAGGCCCGTCAGCACGAGCAGCTGCACCAACAGGAGACTCGCGCACAGCTGGCACCGGGTCTTCCAGCAGGTGGTTTCCCGCAGCTGTTTGAGGGCGAGGATGCAGACGATGCAGAGGACGAGGCAGAAGGCGGAGGCGCTGCAGCCGACGAGGGTGAGCCACTTGACGGCGAGGTAGGCGGGGCTCTGGGAAGGAGGCAGGGTGGATTTAGTGCCGATTTGTTTAACTGTTTTGTTGTTGATACTATTTTTTTGTTGTTGCTGTTGTTGTTTTATTGTTTTGTTGTTACTGTTGTGTTCTTGTTGTTCATCTTAGCTTTTTAATAGTTTAGGGGGAGAGGGGGTAATTAGTGATTTTAATATAGATAACAAAATCTTATATGACAGTAATAACCAGTATTAATGGGGATAATTGTGATGATAATAAAAACAATGATAATAACAGTAATAATAATATCAACGATAATGATACCAACAACAGCAGAAACAGAAATTAAAACAATAACAACAATGATAATCATAAGCATAATACTAACACCAGTCACACAAGATAAAACCACAACTACCAACAACAATGATAATGATAACGATAATGATATCAACCGCAGCATCAACAACACAAGAAAATGCATACAACAAAAACAACAGCAACATTGATAACGATTCAGGTTGATATTTTAAAAATCCGGCCTGCGATAATCCGGCTCCTTCAGATTCCTGGCAATCATTTTGAAGTTCTGTTAATGTCAGTCAAGGGGTTAATCATCCTGACAGCCCATATGATATTTAGCTTCTTTTCGTGGGTACGGTAATTAATAAAGTGTTTTATGAAGTTTCAGTAATATTACATAGCACTGTTTTTATCATTTGAACTAAAATTCTGTAGAACTGTTTCATTTAGTTTCATTTAGTCTTTTTCATTTAGTGTTTAATTTTGTTTATTTAAAGGACTGTGCGCATAATTTTCTGTTAAATATATAGAGCATATATAACCATTAAAAATCCGACATTTTAAAAAACCGGCACTCCTCAGATCCGGAGGTTGCCGGTTCTTTTAATGTAATCAAACTCACAAAGACAGCACCATCAACGCCACTCACACAAGACAGCACCATCAACGCCACTCACACAAGACAGCACCATCAACGCCACTCACACAGACAGACCATTCACACAAGACAGACCATCAACGCCACTCAACCAAGACAGCACCATATCACACAAGACAGCACCATCACGCCATCACATTCACACAAGACAGCACTCAACAACACAAGACAGCACCATTCAACGCCACTCACACAAGACAGCACCATCACGCCACTCACACAAGACAGCACCATCAAACGCACTTCAACGCCACTCACACAAGACAGCACCATCATCACGCCACTCAACGACAGCACATTCACAAAGACAGCACCATCAACGCCACTCACACAAGACAGCACCATCAACGCCACCCACACAAGACAGCACCATCAAACGCCACTCACACAAGACAGCACCATCAACGCCACTCACACAAGACAGCACCATCAACGCCACTCACACAAGACAAGTTCAACGCCACTCACCACCAAGACAGCACCATTCAACCGCCACTCACACAAAGACAGCACCATCAACGCCATCATAGCACCATCACATGCCACTCACACAGACAGCACCGCGCCAACATCAAACAGGCACCATCAACTCACACAAGACAGCACCATCAACGCACTCACACAAGACAGCACCATTCAACACCATCACTCACACAAGACAGCAACCATACAACGCCACTCACACAAGACAGCACCACACAAGACAGCACCATCAACGCCACTCACACAAGACAGCACCATCAACGCCACTCACACAAGACAGCACCATCAACGCCACTCACACAAGACAGCACCATCAAGCCACTCACACAAGACAGCACATCAACGCCACTCACACAAGACCACCATCCAACGCCACTCACACAAGACAGCACCATCAACGCCACTCACACAAGACAGCACCATCAACGCCACTCACACAAGTTACTGAGACAGCACCATCAACGCACTCACACAAGACAGCACCATCAACGCCACTCACACAGCACCATCAACGACAAGGACAGCACCATCAACGCCACTCACACACAGACGCACCATCAAACGCCACTCACACAAGACAGCACCATCAACGCCACTCACACAAGACAAGCACCATCAACGCCACTACTCACACAAACAGCACATCAAACGCCACTCACACAAAGACAGCACCATCAAACAGCCATCAACGCCACTCACACAGACAGCACCATCAACGCCACTCACACAAGACAGCACCATCAACGCCACCACATCACAGCACCATCAACGCCACTCACACAAGACAGCACCATCAACGCCACTCACACAAGACAGCAACCATCAACGCCACTCACACAAGACAGCAACCCACTCACACAAGACAGCACCATCACGCCACACACAAGACAGCACCATCTCACACAAGACAGTCAACGCCACTCACACAAGACAGCACCATCACCACTCACACAAGACAGGCAACCATCACACATCAACACAAGACAGACGCCACTCACACACAGCACTCAAACACAGACAGCACCATCAACGCCACTATCAACGCCACTCACACAAGACAAGCACCACACGCCACGACAAGCACCATCAACGCCACTCACACAAGACAGCACCCAACGCCACTCACACAAGACAGCACCATCAACGCCACTCAACAAGACAGCACCATCAACGCCACTCACACAAGACAGCACCTCAACACACCACACCATCAACGCCACTCACACAAGACAGCACCATCAACGCCACTCACACAAGACAGCACCATCAACCCACTCACACAAGACACACATCAACGCCACCCACACAAGACAGACCACAACGCCACTCACACAAGACAGCACCATCAACGCCACTCACACAAGACAGCACACAACGCCATCAACACCATCAACGCCACTCACCACAAACAGCGCCATACACGCCACTCACACAAGACCACCCACGCCACTCACACAAGACACACCATCAACACCACACCAATCAACGCCACTCACGCAAGAGCATCACACCAAGACAACCACCACACAAACAACACCACCCACACAAGACAACACCACCCATACAACCAACCACCACCCACACAAATCAAACACCCACCACACACAAGACAACACCACACAACAAACCAACACCACACCCACACAAATCAACATAACCACCAACACAAGACAAACACCACCCATACAAACCAAACACCACACCCACACAAATCAACAAACCACCCACACAAGACAACACCACCCATACAAACACACACCACCACCCACACATCAACACCACACCCACAGAAGACAACACCACCCACACAAATCAACACCACCACCCACACAAGACAACACCACCCATACAAACCAACACCACCACCCACACAAACAAACACCACCACCCACACAAGACAACACCACCCCACACAAATCAACACATCCACCCACACAAGACAACCACCACCACACAAGACAACACCACCCACACAGATCAACACATCCACCCACAAAGACAATACCACCACCCACACAAGACAACACCACCCACACAAATCAACACCACCACCCACACAAGACAATGCCACCACCCACCAAGACAAACACCACCATACAAACCAACACCACCACCCACACAAATCCACCCACACACACCACAAATCAACACATCCACCCACACAAGACAATACCACCAACATCACCCACACAACTCAACACCGCCCACACAATTCATCAACAACACCACCTACACAAATTAACACCAACACCAGCAACACCAAACCAACCTCCCTGACGCCTTCCTCCGCCAGGAATCCTCGCACGTCCATGAGGAGAGCGAGGGACGTCAGGTGGGTGCAGCGGCAGATGGTCACGTGGGCGTCAGTATAGTGAAGGGCGCACCCACTCGTGTTCCAGGCGTGGGCGGCCTCATCCCACCACACACAGCTGGCGTTGTCGAGAAGGAAGCCGTCGCCATTGTAAACGTGGCCGAATTTCACCTCTGTTGCTTCGTCGCCGGCTGAGAGAGGGAGGTGGAAGGGTGGAGGGAGTGAGTGAGGGGGAAGGGAGAAGAAAGGCGAGGGAGGTGGAAGGGTGGAGAGTGAGAGAGGGGAAGGGAGAAGAAAGGTGGAGGGTGGAGAGAGAGAGGGAGGTGAAGGGTGGAGGGAGTGAAAGAAGGTGGAAGGGAGGTGGAAGGAGAGAGAGAGGAGGTGGAAGGGTGGAGGGAGTGAGAGAGGGGAAGGGAGAAGAAAGGTGGAAGGGAGGTGGAAGGGTGGAGAGAGAGAGGGAGGTGGAAGGGGGAGGGAGTGAGAGAGGGGGAAGGAGAAGAAAGGTGGAAGGGAGGTGGAAGGGTGGAGAGAGAGAGGGAGGTGGAAGGGTGGAGGGAGTGAGAGAGGGGGAAGGGACAAGAAAGGTGGAAGGGAGGTGGAAGGGTGGAGAGAGAGAGGGAGGTGGAAGGGTGGAGGGAGTGAGAGAGGGGGAAGGGAGAAGAAAGGTGGAAGAGGTGGAAGGGTGGAAGAGAGAGAGGGAGGTGGAAGGGTGGGGAGTGAGAGAGGGGAAGGGAGAAGAAAAGGTGGAAGGGAGGTGGAAGGGTGGAGAGAGAGAGGTGGAAGGGTGGAGGGAGTGAGAGAGGGGAAGGGACAGAAAGGTGGAAGGGAGGTGGAAGGGTGGAGAGAGAGGAGGTGGAAGGTGGAGGAGTGAGAGAGGGGGAAGGGACAAGAAAGGTGGAAGGGAGGTGGAAGGGTGGAGAGAGAGAGGGAGGTGGAAGGGTGGAGGGAGTGAGAGAGGGGGAAGGGACAAGAAAGGTGGAAGAATTAGAGTGGACGGAAGGAGGTGGAAGGGTGGAGGGAGAGAGGGAGTTGGAAGGAAGAATAAGTGGAATGGAGGTGGAAGAATTTGAGTGGAGGAAAGGAGGGAGAAGTGGGGAAGAAAGGTGGAAGGGAGGTGGAAGAATTTGAGTGGAGGAAAGGAAGTGAAGGAACGAGAGTGGAGGGAGGAAAATGGAACGGGGGATAGAGAGGGTGGTGGAAAAATTAGAGTGGAGGGAGGAAGGTGAAGGAATTGGAGTGTTGTGAGATCAGTTTGGAGGTGGAGGAGGGGAAGAGGTAAGAGGAGAAACAAAAGAGGAAGGGGAATGAAGACGGTGATGGGGAAAAGGGAGAAGAATAAGAGAAAGAGAAAGGAAAATAAAGAAAAGAAAGTAATAAAGAAAATTGAGAAAAACATAAAATATACAAAGATAAAGACGATAAAGAGATGAAATGGAAAAAAAAAGAAATACATATATGTATGTAGGCCTATTTGCCCAATCGTAAATTCTGTCTCTCTGTACTTTTATACATCTCTCTTTCTGTGTGTTTTTTTAGCCCATATATTCAGCTTTAGTGAAGCCCAAAACGACAAAGGACAATGTTAGAAAAGATACAAAGTATAAATCAACACTTTTGTCTCTTGATTTACATGACCTTATATAAGAGCCCGGAATATGACCCCGATGACCTTACCTGCGCGCCAGTGTCCCTTCCGCCCAACAATGGCATTGATGATTCCGCTGTTGACCTGACCTTTGGCTG